GGCACTTAACGGAGTCCTAATATCAATAAATACACGTATGCATTTAAATTAGCGATTTCGTTACGTAAAGCGTTAGAAAAACACTTGTGTTCGGTTAAGGAATGTTACCGGGACTTGATCGAATCGAGGAAAGTGGGTTTTCGGCCAAGAAGCACCACTTAAGAAGTGTGTACGGCCGTGAACGGAGTTTACGGTCACAAGGAGAGTTTTACGGTCGACAGGCTGCTTGCGGCCGTGAACAAGGGTTTACGGTCTTTGAAGATTGGCCGTAAACAGGTTTACGGCCTTTGAAGATTGGCCGTAAACTCAAGAACAAGGGCGTTTGTTTTCGCGTAACACGTGCTCCAGATGCTTCCAATCGACCCCAAGTGATGATTTTTGGTGTTTTTCGGAAGAAAAGGGGCGTTTTAGGAGTTTACGGTCAGAGGTTCTAGAGAGAGAATGAGAGAGTTTCCGGTCAAAAGTGTTCAAATGAGGGTGGGGGTCTGATATTTATAGGGGATTTTGTGGTCGGTGGGTGGGGTCCACCCGACGCTAGCCGCAAATGAGTTTACGACCGTGAACTCCAGTCAGGCCGTGAACATGTTGTTTTTTTTCGAGAATAGTTCGAGTTTCGCGCGGTTTTGGTTCTGACTCGCATATATAAATTTAATTATATAAAACCAGATGATTTCCTAGATCAAAAGTTCGACGGAAGGTTGATAAAACCCAAATTTTATTAACGGAAATCAAATAACAGAAACATAAAAAGTTTCGGGTTGTCACACATGCGAACATGAGCATCGTTGGCAATCCAACGAGAATAACTAGGGTTATCAGTTACTGCAGTCTCTGTTGTAATTATAGGTTCAGGGCGTTGAATGGTGCCGTCTACATAACCAATCAGATAGTTGGTAGTTAAGAATGGTTCAAGCATCGCTTTCCAGAAACCATAGTTTGTAGGTAAGAGAGTGAAAGCGAATTTGTGGGTGTTATGGGCTGATTTCTCTGCAGCAGTGAAGGCGACAATTGTAGCCATGTCGTTGTATTGATTACTGATAAGAAAGAGTAGAGAAAGATAGGCTGATTTGGATGATCGACCAAATTAGGGTTGGAGGCGGCAAGAGGTTTCCTCGCTCTGATACCAAATCAGACCGTGTATTATATTTTTTCTGAAAACAATTACATAGAAACTCTATATAAAGAGTTTAATATTTACATTTGAATACCCTATACTTATTATAAATATAAATACATAGTCTAACATACCTTCACCACGTCGTGGCCATCCAAAAACTCATAAATTACTTTAAAAAAAATCATACCTCAAATATCCGAATGTTACATGTTACCACGGAAAACGAAGAAATTCCACAATGGTGGATGTCGGAGGAGTAGTACGCTTTAGCCTTACTGTGGTGTGGGACCTTGAAAAATGAAACTCAAGAAAATGGTGTGAAGTGAGGAGCTTTTGGGGAATCGACGCTCGTCAAATTTCACGTTATCTTGAACAAAAACCATACTGTAATACCGATATGCTTAGTAGTTAATGGACTCAACGGAATAAGACTTGCATAAAATTCAACGAGATCTACAACAAGCTTTGTTCGAAAAAGTAAAGCGGTTGTAACAACTTTGATTTATTTAAATCCGAAAAAGAGTGATATCGAGTCGATATGGGTCATATGTTCGAGTTTGAAAGAGCATGGGAGATGCTGAGAAGAGACCCAAAATGGAGTCAAACTCCAACATCGGCGGAGGTGCAATCTAAGAGGTCATGAAATTCGAGTTCGGTCAACGTATCTGATGCACATAATCACATCGAACTCAACGCCTACCCCAATGCGATTTTGGACGACATCAAAGAGATCTTCCCTCCACGACGACCTGTAGGATGCTATAAAGCGAAGCGCACTACAAAACATGTTGAGGAAGTTGACAGAAAATCAAAGCATATGGCAGAAACTGATGTGAAGTTCTAGGAACACAATATAATTCAAAAAGAAAAAAAAATGATTTGCGACGTGAGCACTTGGATTTCCTTCGTAGTCAAGAAATGACCAATAAGGAGCGACGCGAGCAAGAAGAAATGTTGAACGACTTGACAATTCTTAGGACTATTTTGGAAGGTATGGACCCAAAGATGTAGAAGTGGTACGAAGGAGAAGATTCTAGAAAAATCTATGATCAAAGTTTTAATTTTTGGATCATTTTATGTTTTAAATTTATTGTATTTTTTGTATTGTATTTTTTTTTTCAATTTAAATGTTATGGATTATTTAAAGTGTATGCTTTATAAAATTATATTTGTTTTTAAAATTATTTATAAAAACTCAAAATAAATGATGAAATTGAAATTATTTGGTGTTATAACATGATCACTATTTTATACAATAATTTTATAAGAACATAAGGAGGGGAGTGTGGTAAGAATGATGTGGAGCCTATGTGACATGTTTTACCGCAGTGAACACCGCCCCTAATATGCTGTTTGGGTTGTGCGACACTTTCTTGCCGTGCTCCTCTCTCTCTCACTCACACACACACACATACACACACACACACACTCTTCCTCCCCATCTCTCTCTCTCTCTTCTTTCTTTTTCCTCTTTTCATGGCATACCATTCCTTGTGTGTGGTATTTGAGTGTGGTAAAATGAGGCGGAGTGTGGTTTCAATGACAACACTCCCTCCAACCTAACATGGAGGGCGATGTGACATGTAAGATGATACTTTTTTGGTAGTATAACACAATGTCCGTACCCACCAGCCTTATATGATGTAAAAATATATAATTTGATTTCAATTTAATATATTTGGATATGCTCGAAACAAATGAACAGTAAAACACTCTCACAAACCTTATATATATATATATATATATATATATATATATATATATATATATATATGTGTGTGTGTGTGTGTAGAAAAGTTAAATAGAGAACCATTATTAATCAAGAAATCAATCCAAAAGCGTCGGAATTTAAAACGATCAGTGACAACATGAAGGGTTGTATGCTTTTACAATGGACGCATATGCACCAGATTATAACAAAAGACACTTCCTTTCTTTAGTTTAATTTTTTAGGCCATATATTTTATTGAAAAAAAAAAACGAATATACATTGTTCATGATTTTTCGTCCTTTTTCCATAGAGATTCATATTGATATACGAAAAATAATTTTCTTTTTAAAAAAAACCCACTTCATTTCTTTGTTTTTTTGAAAAGTAATTGTCTATTTTTTATCGAAAAAATTAAATAGATATATCAAAATTCATTTTTTGGCACTCTTTAAACATAGATTCATATTGATGTAAAAAAACAAAATTTCAATTCTGTGAATCTGCTCAGATTCACATTTCGAATCTGCTTATATTCATATTGCGAATCTGCTTAGATTCACAGTGTGAATAAAAAGTTCATATTTTTTATATAAAAAAAATCAGAATTTCAGTTGGGATTCACATTGTGTATCTGCTCAGATTCATAGAGTGAATAATAGTAAGTCAGATTCACATTATGAATTTTGAAAATTAAATTATATACAATTTTGATTTACCATGTGAATAAATCCATTTGTTGATTTTATAAAACTAATTTATGATTAATTTAAACGTTACAATATTTTAAAATTACATGGAAATAGTAAGTCAGATTTACATTGTGAATGTTAAAATTAAAATATTTACAGTTCAGATTCACACTGTGAATCTGAACTTATTGATGTTTTTTAATCGATGTTAATGTTTATTAACAAAGGAGAAAAAAAATTGAGATTTTGGTATAATTAGTTAGTTTTTTTTTTCTGATAAAAATAAACTCAAATATTGAAAAAAAGAACAACAAAACAAAGTTGATTTTTTTTTCAAAAAAAAATATTTGTTTTTTATATATCAAAATGGGTCTATATATAAAGATGACGGAAAATCGTGAACAACAGTATATTTGATTTTTTTCGATAAAAATAATGATCTAAAAAAATTTAAACGAAAAAAAAGATGTGGGATTTTTGATAAAGAAATGAGTTTTTTGGTATAATCTGATGTATATGCATCTAGTGTAAAAGTCTATACCAATTTCCTTGCCGTTGATCATTATAACTTTTGACGCTCACAACTGGTTACTTGTTAATAATGGTTTTTTATTAAATCTTTTATATATATATATATATATATATATATATATATATATATATATATATATTTCCTTTAAAAAAAATGTAAATTTATTATCACATAACTTTCAGTGACATCTCTAAGGGCATTTCCAACTCACCCCCAAACTTCATTTCTTCCCCCATTCTTCTCCAACCCTATCCCATTTTGACCTCCATTTTTGGAAATATGAATAGTATTCCCCCATATATGGGGAAATACTATTCATATCTCCAAAAATGTAGGTGAAATTTGGTTGTTAATTTTAGTCTCTCTCATTTTTATTTTATACATTTCTAGTTTATTTTATCTACTAATTATAATTTAAATGCAATATTTAATATTTATAATATCATGATATATACTAATTTATATTAATTAATTATAAATATAGAGTTTAATTAGTAGAGGGATGTATTTGACAATATATATAAGTTATAAAAATAGAATATTCTAGAAATATACTTTTTTAGGGTAAAAAATGGAATAGATAATGGAATAGGGTTGCAGATGAATTACTATTTCCTCTATTTTATATTTTTTAAAATGGAGATGGGTCGGAGAGGTCTAACTAACCCCAACTTATCATCCCACCATTTTTCATTCTTTAATGTTATATTACCGAAATAACCTTTCTTCGTCTACAGTACTATCAATTTATCACAAACCTCAAAGGGTAATTCAGTAAATTAGACCCTACCCTCCTCTGTTACGTATACATCGGATAAGATCTTCGGCTATGTCTCGCTCTCATTACTTCACCTTCAGAATCCTCCAACAAGTCAACCGGAATCCTAGCAACCATCACTGCGGAAACTCAGCCGGAAAATGGGTTTATTCCAAAATTAATACAACGCCGACATGGTAGAAGAGAAAGCCAACCTCGCCGGAACAAACACCGGAAATTTAAGACTCCGGCATGCGACTGATCAAATCTCTTCTCTAATCTTCCTCTCTCACTCAACCAAAGTCTTTTCATCAAAATGGAAAGTGATAAGAAGCAAGCTAGACGAGATTCTCTCCATCCTCGCCTCTCTCCCTCAGGAAATTCAAGCTTCGGCCGACAACCACCCAACTCTCTCCGGCATCATACGGTCCATTAAAGAAACAACAGATTGTTCCACCAATTTGGCTCAGAAATGTATCGAACATTCCTACAGTGGGAAGCTATTAATGCAGAGTGATCTTGATATTATTTTTGTGAAATTCGACAGTAGCGTTAAGTCTTTGTCTGAATTTATTAATTCAGAGGGGCTTTTATCAAATGGTAATTACGCAATTGTCGTTTCAAGACCTCCACCCGCAGCATCTAGAGATGACATCCAGTTTTATGTTAAAGATTTGTTATGCAGATTCAAGATTGGTCGCATTGAGATGAAGAAACAAGCTCTGGTTAGCTTCAATGAAGTCATTCAAGAAGATGAAAGGTATGTAAAAATCGCAATGGAAATTGACGGGCTTGTTCATGTTCTAATGAAGTTCCTGAATTCAAAAGAAATCGAAATTCAAGAAAGAGGCATTAAAATCGGTGGCTACGCTTTCTGGGTTTGATTCATACAAGAGTGTTTTGGTAGGAACCGGTGTCATTTCCCCATTGATTAGAGTTTTGGAGACTGGAAGTGATTTGGGGAAAGAACTGTCCACCAGGTGTTTGATGAAAGTCACAGCAAATTCCGATAACGCATGGTCCGTTTCCGCTCATGGTGGGGCATCTGCATTATTAAAGATTTGTGGGAGTGGTTGTGATGATGCTGCTGGTGGAGAATTGGTAGGTTTAGCATGTGGGGTGTTGCGAAATCTCATAGGTGTTGATGAAATTAAAAGATTTGTTGTTGAAGAAGGCGCAATACCAATGTCCATCAAGCTTGTTAAGTCCAAAAACGAAGCTTCTCAAATAAGTGCCATCGACTTCATTCAAGTTTTAGCTTCTGGAAACGAATTTATAAGAGGTTTGATTGTAAACGAAGGTGGGATTCGTGTTCTTGTTCGTGTACTCGATCCAAAATCTTCATATTCATCCAAATCCCGAGAGAAATCCATGAGGGCTTTAATAATCCTATGTTCAGATTCAATTGGGTACATAAACAGTTTGAAAAATTACAACTTTATCGATCATTTACTTTATTTTCTTAAAAACGGTGAGGTTTCAATCCAAGAATCAGCCTTGAGAGCTGCGTTTTTGGTTATGTGGGTCTTCCGATGAGTTCAAGAAAGCCATGGGTGATGCAGGATTCATGCCAGAAATGGTGAAATTTCTTGATGCGAAGTCGTTTGAAGCACGAGAAATGGCTTCAGAGACACTTTTCCGATTGGTGGTTGTGCCTAGAAACCAAAAAAGATTCGTGCAAAATGATCAAAATGTGAACTTTCTTCTACAATTGGTCAATCCAGATGAAGGGAATTCAGGTAATAGAAAGAATCTACTTTCTATAATCATGTCATTAACTTTCTGTAATGATGGCAGAAAGAAAATTTTAAGCTCTGGGTATTTGAAAAATATTGAAAAACTGGCTGAGGATCAAGTTTTAGATGCTAAAAAGATTGTTAGGAATTTGTCATCGAATCGGTTCCGAAGCATGATCAGGGGAATTTGGCATTCTTGAACTGTGTAATTCACTTGTTAATTGCATGTAAATCTTGAATTTTTGACTTTTGTATTGTTTTTGCCTAAAAGAAAATAATGATTATTTTAGGTTCTTTATCTTTTGAGTTTGTATCCATTTGTTAAAATTCCCAATAAAAGTAGCATGATGTTATCAAGATTATGAAAGGGCTAATGTCATCCACCATTTTACAATAAGGTAAACACAAGAAACAGCAACTTATCATTTATTTATTTGTTATAGTATTATATTTTTATTTCTTTTTAAAGTTAGATCCAAGAAATAACAACTTATTATTGTTATTATTATTGTTATTTTTTAATATTCTAGCATGTTATTTTCATTTCCTTATATTGTAACATTGTATTTTGAAAAATGTACCTAGTAATAACAATGTTATTTATATAGGGGGTTTTTAATATGTGCCCAAATAGCACATATAAAAAGTATTAATTATAAAAAAATATTACTATAATTAAATATGAAATGCATTAATTATGGAGATTATTAATGAATTTTACATTTATTTATGGTAATATTCATTATAGTTGATGCATTTCAAATTTAATTATAGTAATAGTTGTCATTAAATAATACTACTTCTTATATATGCGTTTAGAACACATATTAGAAAATCCCATTTATATATACAAGCAACTTTTAATTCTGTAATTGAATATATTTATTAAAAGTATAACGTTTTAATTATAAGAAAAAAGGAATATAATAATGTAATAATTGGATGGTTTTTCAACCAAACCATGTTTAAACATAAATTAAAAAGATAATGTCGTAACATTATTGAATAGAAATATGATATTATAATGTACAAATAAATAAGAGTGAATTACTAACTCTTGCATCTAGCCATTTCTTTGTTACAACATTATAATTCCAATTTATTTATTATCAAGTCGTTGCAGTTTTAAGAACCTAATTGAACTTTTTAATATTTTATTTGCATTAAATTTAAAAAAATCTATCCAATTAGTGAATATTGATCTGAAATAGATTTTTAGAACCACAATAGTGTAAATAGAAGAAAACGACAATGTAAATATGTTGATGTTAGCATAAATATATATTATAAAAACTAAATTACAAAAACTTAATGATCGTTAAAAACACTAATCTTGTCATTATCTTTAGATTAGGACATTAGACGGCACATGGTGGGGGAGATATGTAGTTTTGTAGGACGAAGGACATGTGAGAGATGTAGCGATCAACATTTTGTCTACCTTCCGATGATGTACAAGTGACACTGCAGAGAGTACCATCAATAATACCAGTCGTTCTGTCCTTTTTTGTCTTTTCCATGTTGTTATAGAGTATTGGAATATGTGGGCATTAAATTGTTTCCACTATGGGACGATACATGCACATCTTTCTGATTTCGCAGAATAAATACATCCCTGCAGAAAATAAAGTATTTATTAGATTATAGACGAAATGATATGAATTAAAAAAATGATATAATTTAATATTTTTATAATTTATTGATTTGTATGGTTTCTAATGTCGGTGCTTTAGTAACGACCGAAGATATTTTAAAAGAGAAAACGACTAGAGAAAAGGAAAGAAAACGCGTACCAAGTTACATCAATATCATATTTTAAACCAAACTATCGGGATCAACACTCAACAGTACTACAGTAGAGGTATCAAACTATCAATTGTCTAAAAGAAACTTTAAATTATTGCAACATAAAAGGTGGATGGTATTGATAACATTAAGGTGGAGGGGTTTTTTTGTTTTCTTGAAGCAAAAATTTATGAAGTCTGCGAACCATTTTTGCAAACTTCTGCAGTAGAAGAGGTAGACCAAACGGCTATAAACTGTAATAAAAAACGTTTTGTTTTTTAACATCTGTATGCTGCTGCTATAGATATTAAAAAAATAAAATAAACTGATTTTATATAACGAAAATAGTTTTTTAATACCAAAAATTTAATAATGTATAATATTTCAGCAAAAATTTATGATATTTTAGCAAAAAAATATTGATATTTCAACAAAAAATAATAATATTTCAGCAAGAAATTATCATTATTCAATATAAAAAAATGGAAAAAAAAAAATCATTAACAAGAATAAACAAAAAAAAAAACGAAAAAAAAGAAAAAAAAAGAAGGTGAAACAAAAATTCAACAAGATTTCAACAACATATAATCAAAATTCATCAAGATTTCAACAAGAAAAAAAAAAAAGAGGTTGGAAAGGCAATACAATTGATGCACTAAACAGAACACATGCATATGTTTTTTACTCCGAAGACTTTTAAAAAACAAACAACTACAAGATGAAAAGTGTTATGTGTGCGCTGCGCCATAAAATAAAAAATCCGAAGTGAAATTTTTTTTAAAAAAAACCACCTAAATCATTACTCATTAAAAAATGTTTTATTTTGCTAATTGGTAGGTAAATGGGCTTATATATTTGGGCTTTTTGGTTTAAATCACTCCACTCTCACACCCAAAATCCAATTATCATGAATCAATTTTTGTACAAATGGTTATTCAATAAAATAGCCATATTTTGTCCACATTTATCACCCAATCATATTTATTTTCAATTTTTATAACAAAGTGACCATTTGTGTCGCTAAAATATGTTGTGAATCGTGATTTGCTTCTTATGCCGCTCACGTCCCAAAAACATATATGCACGTTATCTTTTATTAGATACTAGGTTATAATACGTGGAAACCACGGTAAGTATGCAAAAAGTTTTATATAGACAAAAAAATTAATAATTTTTAAAAAAATGCAGCGTGTTGTACATTGACAGTAATAATGAATTACTTTGATAATTAAAATAAACATAATATTTTAACATAGATTTTGAAATATTTCTTTATACATGTACATCATTGGATTTTATTGATCAAATTACCATATTTATCTAAATCAATAACTATAAATTATCACAATTAGTTACATCTATTATCCAAATTTAATTTTCTAATCTTTTCCTATCTCTAGCGTTAGTATAATATATGTCCTCATTTGGTTCTATAAAACAAAAGTAATGAGGCGGGTGAGGGGTGTAGCAGTGGTCGGAGGTGAGGCGTTGATCTTGGGGGACGTTGACAGATGCATCCTTTTCTTGAGCTTATTTGTTTGAATTTCCTCTCATTAATCTCCTTTCTACCGACGAGAACATTGATCAGTTCACACGAGAGAGAGAGAGGGTGTTTTTGTATTTTCAATTAGTAAAAAACATTAATATAAATAAAAAAAATGGAAAAACAAACTATAAGTGCATAATGGTCTTTTTAAGTAGATAGAGACCAAAAACGATAGAAAGATCCAATTTTGAACCAGTGGTGCACCAACGTTTCATTTTGGACCAAAAGCACATAAATTTGCCAACCACAGGGACCATTTTTTGCAATTTTGTCTAGCACAAATATAGTCTATCTTGTTCCTTTTATCTACGAAAAGAAAAAAATAGTAGTTATATTAAAAAAAGATGATATTAATTGGTAAAGATATTATAAGAACAAAAAATAATGAATAAAAAAAAAATATAAAAAAAATATAGATGTATGCAAGGATCATATAAATTAAAGCATAGCCCGTCTTTATTAATCTATAATTAATTATAAGTAATAATTTTTTTAAGTTTTTAATGTTTTTATCATATTAAAGGTAAATAATGAATAACATGTATTAGGAAAATGAAAGGTCAAATTGTTATAGATGTAGAAATTTATAGTTTATATTTATGGCATATTTACATGATTTTATTAAAAAGCATATATGTAAAATAGTTAAGAGTGTGTAGTATAAAATGTATCCAACCAGAAATTTACTTAATATTAAAACTACGAATTACTTAAATAAATAACACTTTAATTAATATACTTATTTTATAATGGTGATAACTTTTTAATTTCAAAACTTAGTGATTCAAAACATGTACAACTTAACGTTAAGAGACATGATTTATTGGTTGTATAATTTGAAAAAAAAACCATTAATGAGTCTAAACCTGAATGAGGAATGCATATCTAGTCTTGGACTTGACATCTGTCCTACGCTTAAAAAAAACCCTGTTCAATTTGTAAATCAAAATGCCAAAGTATAATTTCCGATTATCTAATTGGCGTCGTAGCATCATCACAAGGTTTGTACTCCTTCATTCTCCATTTCTTAAAAATAATTTATAGGTTTCAATTAGGAGTAATCTTCATAAGCGAAGCATAAGTGTCTGATTTGTTTAAAAGAGATTAGAGAGTGTATCTGGAATCAGAAGAAACACAATTGAAAGTATTATGAAGAGAAAATGGTGGAGATTGGCGGCCTTGTCCTTTTGATTTGCTATAAATTGGCGGTCCTCATGGAATATAATCGAAATGAAGAACTTTGGGTGACATGAACAAAAGGTAAAATCAGATTCTTTTCTTTTTGTAGAAGATTGGCAAATTTCCCGGGTTATGTGATTTCATTTTTAGTAAATTCTCCGCTTTCTTTATTTCAAGAATCTTAAAATCTTAAAAGCAACCATGATCCTATAAAAGAGTAGAAAAGTAGTTATAATTTAGTAAAGCATAATGATAGAAACAAAGAAAGTAGATTGCTACATTGGCTTCAAGAAATTTGAAAGTAGATTGCTATTTTGACAGATTATAGAAGTTGAAAAAATCTGTGAAAATAGCAATATACTTTTATAGTGTATAAAATGTAATAAAATCAAACCATTATAAAAGGGTATAATGGGAATTTTTATTATATGTTTCTTTGTTAGGGTTAGGATGCATCTTTGTTTGCATTAGCTTGACAAGAAACAATCACATTATAATCATTTCACTGTGTTTAAACAAATAAGTAAAATAAGAAAAAATAATAAAAATTATAAGTTTACACAATTTAGGTTAAATCTAAGTAGGATGCTATATTTGACAGAAAAGGAAAGTTCAATGCTATTAATTGTTATTCAATAAACATAAACGCAACAACACTATGATTAAGGAAAATAAATGAAAAAAAATATT